AGGTTCGTTTAAACGACATTAGTTAATTAGCTACACAAAGCGATTTTAGGAAATTCATCCTCTTAGAGAGTAAAATTATCTCGGAACAGTTTGTTGTATGAAAATTCCTTACTATTTGGTCTAGAAGAATAAAATCCTACAAAAAGAATTAGAAGAAATTTTGAAATTCATCAACCAAATGGGTAAAGTTAGTAAAGTTTATATAAAACTTGGTGACCTCTGGATTATACACATAAAAATTGGCACAAAGGTAAAAGCGAATTTATGAAATTTATACCCTTAGGAAGTAGAATAGGGAATGAAAGTTTGCTGTACGAAAATGCAATACTATAACATTATAAACCAGACAGTATAAAAATTTATATACAAGGGTTTATTTAGTGACATCATAACAGAAATATATCTTCCTCAATTATCCTTCAAAGAATAAAAAATAACCTATAAAGAGAAAGTATTAGTATCTTAATAAATAAAAAAAAAGATGAAAAATAAAAAACATCTATATGCTCACTAGCTCTCTATAAAGAAGTAAAAAATCATTTAAATCAATGCATGAACGATTCGAGGTGTAACGCGAACGTAGTCGCGAGAAAAAAGCTAGTAATTTATTAAATTATTTTATTTAACTCATTAATTTTTCATTGAAAAGGAATTTTGTAATTCGCCACTATATTAGTTAAAAACTAAGAAACTCATATCAAATTTAAGTTTTTGATTTTTTGACTTATACTTTTTACAAAATCTGAACACATTTTAAAAGAAAAAAAGTTTTCGATAATATTTCTGTAGATTGACTACAAGTTGTATAACATAAATTTCTACCGGTCTACCTAGTGGTCTGCAGCATCGCCTTGTGGTGCCAACGTAAGGCCTGTTAATCTGTGACGTGACGCACAACAGCCAAAGAAAAACAGAAGCGTGGCTAAGAATTTAGTAATTTAAAAAGTCTTTTAGATACAGTAGTAGGTATTAAAAGTTTGTGTTTAAATGGGTGTTTGCCTTTTAACAGTTAAAAAATTATATCGTAAAGTGTAACTTTCCGTAAGAATTCTTTATCTGTCATTGATCATGATCTGTCATCATGTTAACCTGATGTTTTTGTATGTTATTTTGTTTTTTCGAGGTTTCTTTGCTTGCTTGTTTTTACGGATAGGTGCGATCGTGCATAATTATTATTGGTAATGTTTTTATTTAATGTTAACATTACTACTTTTTCAGTGAATCTTTAAATCTGTTGTTTTGTTAAAGTTCGTTATTTAAACATATGTATGTAATACACTCATATTAACACTAATCATATTTTTACGTTTTTATTCATCATTTTCAATGCCCCCCCCAGTTTGCATCTTTGTAAAGGACTGTGAATTTTTATGTTTATCTAGAATAGATAATATCTAAACTCGGATCCTTTGTTGTCGTTGAGAAATAAAATGTTTTCTGTTGTTTGAGAATAAAATGTTTTGCACTTTTACTTTTTCATATTTGGGTCATTTGTATAATGAAAAAAAAATAGATGGAGTAAAAATAGGGGCGCCAAAATATCCCAGGGCTTTGGGCAGTTTCAAGTGTTAATACCTACGCCTCTGATTATTCCCGAATTTGTCCGGTCTCGATTTCTGATTTTGGGGATTTTTGAAATATGAAATATATCGTGGCAACTAACACAATGTCGAACACCTGGAAAATGCTTTAATAATGCAAGCTTTTAGATTTTTGCAAACCCATCCCGTTATAATAAATTACGTTCAAAAGTAAAATATATCAATTCCAAATAAAATTTTAATATTTGTATAACTATTTTAGTAAATACCATTTTGATTTTTTGTTATTTATCACGGCCTACTAATAAGAAAATGACATATTTTAAATATTGCAGTAAATAGTGAAAATAAATATAGAGTGATATATATTTTTGAGAAGCTCATAACAAGGCGGATCATTATGATTTATAAAGATACAGGGTGTTCCATTTGAAAAAAACATAACTTTAGTTCGTATCTTCAAAAATATTTTTTTCGTATAAAAACAGACTACGTAACTGTATTCTACGTAAAAAGTTCTACAAGAGTCAGTTTTCACCTTCTCGATATCATCCATAATAACGGAGATACAGGATACGGGGGCTGTCCCAAATTGCAATATTTTCAAAAAGACCCTGTAGCTCAGAAACGAAGAGGGCTATAAAAATTTTGTTGACAGCATCTTCCGTTTGACAAAAAAAAGGTTTGTGCAAACCCCATCCTCCTATCTTTACTAATAACGGAGATACCGTATGATTTCAACCAAAATGGGACACCCTGTACATAATGTCGGTTGTGATTCTCTTAATAACCCCAAAATATAAAGCAAAATAAATGAACAGAAACCATTACTTAAAGTACAGTACGTCTGTCCGTTCTATAGCTACGGGGTATTCGTGAGAGGGGAAACGATATTCTCCCGATGTTTTTCGTAAAAAATTAGACGACGCGTCCCATCGATAAAAATTCGACAAATTTGCAAGTAGCCAATAAAATGAGTGGGCGGAGCGATTTGCGGTGATGTACTCGTCAAGTCGACGTGTAAAATATATTACTGTTTATTTAAAATATATAGACACAGATCCAGCAGACGTACTGTACGTCTACTGGATCTGTCTCTATGAAAGGAATGCGGACAAAAAAACATTTAAATAAACAGCAATATATTTTATACGTCGAGTTGACGGGTACGTCACCGCAAATCGCCCCGCCCACTCATTTTATTGCCTACTTGCAAATTTGTCGAATTTTTATTGATGGGACGCGTCGTCTAATTTTTTACGAAAAACATCGAGAGTCGTTTCTCCTCTCACGGATACCCCGTAACTACAGAACGGACAGACGTACTGTACATTAACAAATAACTTACGTAGTCAAGGAGTGATTTATATGAACGCATCACGTTTAAAATTTATAAAATCACAGTATACAGGGTGCTACAAATTCGAGGTACGAGCACTGGTATCTCGGAAACCGTAATAGATACGAAGATGGTTAAATTGGGGCAAAGTTGCTCCTTGGGATGTTCACCAAGATGCCATCAAAAAGATTTAAAAATTTCAAGGATTGCTGACTTTTTTGAAAAAAAAAGCTGATTTTCGTGAACATCAATTACATTTTTTCTTGTCGCTACTTTTTAGGAAATCAAAAAACTAATTGCACATTTTCATAGCCACTATATTAGGGCTATCTGATAGTATTTTTAGATTTTCAAATTAGCTTATAATTTGTGAAATTCAGAGGCCAACTTATTTTTTTTAAATATGGACCTGCATTATGTATTTCATGTTTTGAAAGAGCTCGGTCTTCTGAGTATAATAATATGTCACACTTGATACTTTTTTTTGTTTTGAGTACCTTAACAATAACAAAACTATTTTATTATTATTTAAAATAATTTCAAGTCCGACTCTGGGTTTTTAAATTATTTTAATCTGATTATATTTGATTATATTGATTGCAACAATATTGATCAGCGCTAATTAACATTGAATAAGGGAAATCGAGCCAATTGAAAGAATCAAATAAATAATATCCAGGTCAGCAATTTAAATATATTATTTTTAAATCTCTTTGTTGTAAATTTGAAATCTTAATGTTTAATCTAATCTAATAATATGCATAATATTAATCGTAGTAATTATGATGCAAGTAAGGCACCCCCCCCCCCCGCCCCTTGGCGACAGATCCAGACCAGAAACCTCGCTGGCCATTATATTGCTCTACTATTTCCAATCCATCTTCCGGGGAAACGATTTGATTGTTTATACTATATTATATTTATATTACTTATTTTATATAATTTTATATGATTTTATTGCATTTGATCTTCCGTATTCAATGTTTTACCTCACGTCATATTGTTAAGTTTGAAAGCTTATCAATATTGTAACGTTGAATAGATTAAATATTTAAAAAAAAACAGAGGCGGACTTGAAATTAGTTTAAATAAATTGTGTTCAAATGTTCGGGAGACTTTTCGAGTTCTTTCAAAACCTGAAATTAAAAATGCAGGTCCGTATTTAAAAAAATTAAGTTGACCTCTGTATCTCACAAATTATCAGCTAATTTGAAAATCTAAAAATACTATCAGATAGCCCTAATAAATTGGCTATGAGAATGTGCAATTAGTTTTTTAATTTTCTAAAAAGTAACGACAGGAAAAAATAAAATTGATTTTCAAAAAATCAGTGAGGCGATGACTTGTATCGAAATCATTTCTTCATCGACTGGGGAGGAAATGAAGAAATAAAACAATTTTTTTGGTATATCAAAATAAGAATTTTAATGCATGGAAGACGTGTATCAAATATAACATCAGAGATATTTTGAAAAAAAAATCAGAAAATTTACCACATTGTATCTGAAAAGTTAAGATGTTTAGGATATATATATTCATATGAAGTTTTTTTCATAGAATAGGTCTAAGAACTACCTGCTTAAATATTAACATGTCATTAAGGAACAGCCTGTATATTAGAATATTTCTTATGTCTATTATTAGAATTTAAAATGTCTTCAAAACATAATATCAAAACATAATATCAAATATCAAAACATGATGATTTTATTTTCGACCTTCTTTCACTTTATCCTATCATATTTTTTTCTTTAATTTAATTTTCCCACTTCATATATCTTTGGCTTCGGCCGAAGGTGACCCACTTGACCCACTCACAGACCGAAGTTGGGCTCGGCTCCGGCTTCGACCAAAAAAAAATCACATTTGGTCGGTCTTTAATTACTTTTATTGCCCTTTCCAAATAGCTATATCAATAGGTATGTACTCCGTTTATTTTTTTTTCAAATTCCAGTTGGCAACGGAAATTAATGTATTAGCTTTTAATTTTGATTGGTTTATAAAATTTTTGGCTTGGTATGCAATGTTTTTTTTTCAGAAGGACTACAAGTTATAAAATCGTAGCTATCTTACTAAACAAAAAAGTTATTACAAAACTGTACAGTTAAAACCTTTTACAGGGCCTACATATCCCACAACAGAATCGGCAGGAATTCCTTCTGATACACCAAGTCCAGAAGAAAAACCCGCCGTTCCAGGATACCCTAACATCCATCCAGACGTTCCATTCCTCACCGAAGCTACCGAACCGCCATCAGAGCAACCGAGAACCACTCCTCAGGCACCTGAAGAGCCAGAAGGACCTAAAGAACCTGAACTACCCAGCAGATTGTTCCCTGAAATTCCAGAAACTCCACAAAAACCTAACGTTTCTCTAGTGCCTGGTGGCCAACATGAGAGTACTACAGAACAGTTGTATACTAGTCCACACGAAGATCAAGCAGGAACTTCGACAGTTGGGCCAACGTTACATACCGATGCTCTTCCTTACACATCGTCAAATGGTACGACTGTTATAACAGTAATAGTCCGGGAGGCAGCGGCTTTTTTTTCAAGGAATTTAATCCCGGCTGAATTTAATACAGTAGGTTATACCACGTTATACTCACATTCTAAATGACAAATCCGACCGTCAGTCTCCGTACTAGCGGTGGGTGTGAGCATGGGAGGCTGCGATATTCGTAAAAAAAATGATTTCTGAAGTTATTTCATCCCGGGTGAAAATGCTTGTGTGCAATATTGATGACAGAGACCGTCAGCCGGTCGGCTGAGGGTGGAAAATACATCAGTCGGGCGACTGAACGTAGAAAAAAATACGAAATTCAATTTATTATTTCATCCCGTTTGAAACTTACACAAGATTTCGTGCGTATATAGAAATATAATAATGACTAATGACCGTCAGGTGCGTGTCTAGCGGTGGTAAGACCGTCAGTCATGGCAAAATATAGTACGACGCGACGCGCGGAATTTTCCATGGTCTGACTGACGGCTTTTCCCCCAATGGGCAATCAGCTGACGCATATTTTCACATTTCTATTTATTAAAACTATCATATTTATTAATTTCAATTGTTTTTTTACGATTTACTGAAGGTATGCATTAATAATTTTGCACCGGGTGTTTCACTAAGAATAGCGCTGGCTGTATCTCAAAAAGTATTTGCTATAGAGACTGCGGAAAAAAATATTTATAACTAAAGAGGCAATGAGAAATTGCTGGAAGTGATTTTTTTTCCAAGTTTGTAGAATGGCCGCTAGAGGGCGCAACTGCTATAGCAAATAAGAAAATGGAATTTTGACAACATTCTGCCTAGATAAGGGGTGCTATAAAAAAGTAGTGGTGGAGGAAGGTTACATTTGTTTTTATTTAAATGATAATACCTCCGGACTGGTTAATCAGAATCCAATGAACTAGTGCTCATTTAAAAGAGCATTTTATTTTATATTATACCATATAAATAACCATAATTAGCATTTAACAGTAAAAGAGCGCTGTCTTACAAATTAACAAACCTTGTGCGTTTCTTCAAAAAATTTATATGCAATAGTTAAGCAATTTTAGCTGATCAAGGCTGATAGTAAAGAGGAATAAAAACTTAAAAGTCAGCAAAAGCCACATCTGGATATCTTTTTCCAAACGAAGATATTAGCAAAAATATAATAAATACAAAAAAATAACCTTATTTTTATGTCACTGTATCAGTAGCCTTTGTGATAATAACCATTCTAATAAAAAATAAAATGCAAACGATTAATTTATTCTAATACCGATAATATGCCAGAATGCCACATTATCAGATGTATAAATACTTAATCTTAATTATGTATTCATTATAAATACATATTTATTATGAATACATAATTAAGATGCCAATGACACTGAACAAGAAACGACGCGACATCACAGTGAAGCTAGGGTAAGCTTTGCAAAGAAGTTGCTTTTGAACATTTTGAAGTAATAGTTTAAAAGTTAAATTGTTATTATTGTCAGTAGCGTTTTTATCATTGACTTGTTTTATCATGACTTCACTGAGGCGTCGCTTCTTGTTCACTGTCATTGGCTTCTTAATTATTAAATATATTAATATATCTGGTATTACGATATTCTGGTATTCTGGTATATTATCGATATTGGAATAACTTAATCGATTGTATTTCATTTTTTATTGGAAAGCTTATACATTTTTTATTAGATACAGATACCTTAGAATACTGATAAAATAAGGTAATTAATGTCTTACTTTTTCGTATTTATTATATTTTATTTATTATGCTAATATCTTTGGTTTCGAAAAAGATATCCAGATGGGGTTTGGATAGAATTGTAAAAATATGCGTTAGCTGATTGCCCATTGGGCGAAAATCCGTCAGTCAGACAATGGAAAATTCCGCGCGTCGTATAAATGCATGCGCGCGCTCATACAATTTTGCTTTGACTGACGGTCTTACCATCGCTAGACGCAGCTGAAGGTCATTATTATATTTCTATATAAGTACGAAATCTTGTATAAAAGTTTCAAACGGGATGAAATAATCATTTGAATTTCGTATTTTTTTCTACGTTCACTCGCCCGACTGACGTATTTTCCACCCTCAGCCGACCGGCTGACGGTCGTTTTTTATTACTACATAACATCAATATTACATACAAGCAGTTTCACCCGGGATGAAATAACTTCAGAAATTCAATTTTTTTACGAATATCGCAGTCTCCCATGCTCGCACCCACCGCTAGTACGGAGGCTGACGGTCGGATTTGTCATTTAGAATATGAACATAACGTGGTATAACCTACTGTATTAAATTCAGCCGGGATTAAATTCCTTGAAAAAAAAGACGCTGCCTCCCGGACTAAAAAGGTTGTTCAAAATTGCTTAAGTCAAACCGTATTCATTTGACTTTTTTTCTGACTCAAATTAAAAATACTTTGTTTGATATCTATATCAATAAATCATATTATTTTTTATGCAACTGAAAACAACGATACTGATCATGATAAGAACATATTTTATGATACTTTATATAGTTTAATTATTTCTTTTTTCTTTAACCATTAGATTATATCCATATCATGTTTTTCCTTTCTTGGGGACCTATGAGGTTTTATAATAAATTGATAAATGGATTTTTTTTTTGTGCGACGTTTCGCTCCAACATAGTGGGCTTTTTCAGGCACTTTATTCTAAAACCTTGAAGTCGTCTATATCGCATACCCAAGAAAGGAAAAAAAAATATATTTTTTTTTAGGTTACACCCAACCATCAGATGTGAGTACCGGTTACCCCGAAGCAGGCCAATCTATACCACAGGTAGACTTAACACCTTCCACTGCCCTACCTGAAGGAACAACGCCACGAGCTGAACAAACGAGTCCCTCTGAAACTAAACCAGTAGAAACCTCAGAATATCAAACTGAAGTGCCGGTTACACCTGAAGGACCTGCTTTAACAACTTCAGAATCAGTCACTCAGGAAGGACGATTAAAGTCTGAAGAACCTGTATCTATTCATGCGGGAACTACATTAGCTCCAAGCGGATTTACTGCTTCTACACCAAGTGAAACTGAAGGGGAGTTGAAAACCACAGAGAACCCCGAAGCCAACACAATTCCTGGAAATGCCGAAAGTTCTGTAGCTGCAGATGATGATTCAAAGCATCCTCCTCATATTCATTCCCTTGACGTAATCTGTGGAAAAGAAATGATGACCATCACCATTGAATTTAACAGAGAATTCAACGGAATTATTTACTCTAAGGGTCACTTCAGCAACAACGAATGCAGATATGTTCCAGAGAACTCAGGTCAAACCAAATACACCTTCACAGTAAGTCTGAACACTTGTGGAACTGAATTCGTAAACGCCTTTGACACTCAGAACCAATCTTACTTAGAGAACGTCCTAGTGCTGCAAAACGAAGCGGGAATACAGGAAGTGTGGGATACTGTTAGATCTGTCAGATGTTTATGGGAAGGAAATATTAAAGATACACTTAGAGCGGCTTTCAGCATCGGCATGTTGAGTCAAGAAATTGTTACTTTCAGTGGAGACACCGCCATGGCCAAACTTGATGTCCTTCTTGGTAGAGGACCTTTTGGTGAACCTGCAAATGGTTTAGTCAAGATCGGAGAACAAATGACGTTAGCTGTGTCTGTCAGCGGTGACCCTGGATTCGACTTACAAGTCAAAGATTGCAAAGCGATTGATTCTGATGAAAAGAACATCATAGCTTTAACTGACGAAGATGGTTGTGTGTTGAAACCTAAAGTTTTCGGAGCTTTCCAGAAAACAAGAGAAACGGGGAGCACGGGGGCTTCTATTATAGCCTACGCGTACTTCAACGCCTTTAAATTCCCTGACATTATGGACCTAACTATTGAATGTAACATTGAGCTTTGTAAAACAGATTGCGACATGTGTTCAAAAGAAAATCAACAATTAGAACCCAGCAAGAGGCGTAGAAGAGATGTATCAGCAGCAAATGCATCATTAAGTGACGGTACAATCATGGGCAAACGCCTTCAAATAATTCTACCTGAAGATATTAACGAAAAAACAGTTTTAGAGCTCAGTACAAAAGATCATGTTTGTATATCAACACAAAATTTTTTGTTTTCCTCGACAGTTTTGATCTCGCTCGCTCTAGTTAGTAGTAGTTTTAGTATATGTTTATGGTTAAGACGAAGAGAGAAATACTTACCATAGTACCTAAAATAAAATATAAAAATGCCTAAAACAATACATGCTGCCAATAAAATTAAAACGTTACCAGTTAGTTACCAGTATATTAACATTCTTAAGAATAAAGTTAAGTCAACAATGAGTCCTATTGTATAAAATCTGCAACTGCAATCAACTAATATTAAGTTTAAAATTGTACAGAAATGTAATCATGTAAATAAAGAGTATTTATATACAAATTATTGTTTTATAATTTTTGTAATTATATTTAACATCGGCAACGCTGCAACATGTTAAACAATTAAAATGAGGGTAAAATGGGTAAAAATGAGGAATTTCAAATTAGTCTTGTCCAGGTCGGTGAAATTCTTATGGGATTTCTTAAGTCGGATAAAATGTTGCATGGGTGTCAGACTAGATGCCGCCACATTATTTACACATAATGTTGATCTTTATCATCTTCAATTAAAGCAACTATAACGGTTACAACTTCTGGACTTGGAAACATGGAAACCATCTCTGCTAGAGTAACTGGCCAACAGACAATAATAATATATTTCAATAACAGCGACACTACATAAATCACAAACACTATTTTATAGGTCTGTTGACTGGGACCAAAAGCAAAGGCATGGTTTTAATGTAAAAATTACGAAAAAATATTAGTGTCGAATGCGAATATCTCCAAAAAATAAACTATCGAGAAAAGATACACCTAAATGATAAAACGATTTTCAAACTTCTTGGCTTTTAACAAATTCCACACGGTGTTCCAAATTATCACCAAAATAACAATATTTTGTGTTCCCCCGTATAATTGACAGATGAGAACATTTATTTTTAATTTAGAAAGAGCTACTAAAAAGTAAAATAATTTAGCCACAAATTGCTTAAAAGATCATCAAAATCGGTCCACTAGAACACAATATTCTAAAACTTGAAAATGGTAAAAAATTTAATTCTAAAAACTTTAAAATACTGAGATGACTCGCCTATTTAAAAATAAACATAATATGTTAATTTTTTTTGTTAATTTAAAGAAAGATTATTTCTTTAAATTCAATGCATAATTTTGACACTCTGCATACCTAAATAAAATTATTGATTTTTAAAATATTCGCAAACTAGCGAAAGGGAAATCAGACAACGAACAGAGATGATAGATGTTAGGGAAGTTTTGAGACTACCCTTCGAAAATTATTGATGTTATTTTGGTTTGTAGGGTTTGTGACAAAGAACGTTATTATATTTCCACCAAACCTTCAACTTTAGCTTCGAGTTTCCAGAGCCTTAGTACTTGCGGCCGGCGACCTGCTAAACTAACAAAATCTCTTCGGTTGTGAATGAAATAAATATGGCCATGTTTTGAATGTATTAAACTACAAACCTTGGTATGAGGACAGTTTTTGTATTATTTCATTTTTTTAGTTCAGAACAACAGTAGAATTCTTTGGAATAATGATCAAGATTTTCCCTTCCGTGCTCTATTACTTGTAAATTCCAGGCATAGTAGGGCACTCCTTTCATTTAGCGTTTGATTTACATAACCTATTCTCCTCAAATTTCCTAAAATATTGCATCTGTCGGGCGCATCCGAGGTAAGTTCCAATAAAAATATTTTTAACACAACGTAGGTTGCTTTATTTCATTTAAATTGTTTTTTTTTATACAACTGCCAACCAAAATCTTCAACCACTTCTTCAATTTTGATGAACGACACGTCAAAATTTTAAGGTGCCTTTTTTTGGTGCCTCGTGCCGGTGAGTGTATATTTGGGATATTAAAGGTAAATTCTAATAATTTAAATGGTATTTTGAATGTGTCTATTTTACTCTTTTATTGCATATTTTGGCATTACGAAGTGCTTATAATCTGATGTCTCTTATTATACAGTGTGAGTCTTAAATAAGTCCAAACATTTTCAGGGCAGGTAGATCTAGATAAAAGAAACACCTGTTTCCTCTTTGCCGTTTTTTAAATAACTCCAAGATAACTGAGTTATTTTACTTTGAAAATTTCCAGAAAAAAATATTTTTTGCTTAAATTTTGAGAACCACTGGATCTTTTCTGGGGTTTCTTTCTTGTAAATTTATAAAGGAACTATGTTTTTAACTAAAAGCTAAAAAAATTTCAAATTTTTATTAAAAATTCCAAATTTTCTATTTTTTTTTCGCGAAAAAGCTTCATAATCGTGTTTATAATGGTGGTGAAAATATACTACCCCTAAAAGTATTTGCACTTATTTAAGACTCGCCCTGTATATTACAAAAAATACTATAAAAGTTTACCAAAAACCTAATATAAAAGAGTTTCTATTTAATTTCATATTTTTTATGAATATAACAGATTATTTTTATTTTATTACAAAAAACGTTTTATTTAATATCTTAATTTATAAATGATTGAGAAATCTACAAAAAAGTCTTAATTTTCAAAAGTTATTCACTTTCTGCACTGGTAGTTGCTTGGGTGAGAAACACTTGTTGAGCTCCACCATTTTGTTGTGTCACCTAAAAAATATGGTCAAAATTAAAAAAAATGTGTATTTTATTCTTCTCTACCATACACATACTGTTGTGTGCTAGAGCGTATCGACCGGCACGCTCTAGCATACAACACATGATCTGTCTTTATTTTTATACATCTTTTATAATTCCTCCTTGTATGGATATTTCAAGTGACCAAATCACAGTTATATATGTTATATATGAAACGTTGAAAATCAATTGTAAAATTTCTCACGTGCTTGTTGCAGAAATATACATAGCGTTTCCTAAATAAGAGCAATCATGGTAAAAGAATAAATTATATTTTTTTTATTTTTCCAAACGGGTTAAAAATAGAAAAGTAATTTAACATTACAATTAAAAAAAAATGCTAATATTTTGAGGACAGCTAGTTTATTTTTGTTTTTGAAAATTAAATTGACTATTTATATTCGCATATTAATACAAAAATATATTGTTTCAACTAAAAATTGAACTTATAAAATACGAGATAAAATATCAGTTCACATTTGTCGGGGGTGTTATGGGTGTTGTGTTTTTTTTAAGAAGAAATGCCTTACTATGTTTGTACTCTAAGTGTGCATCAGTAACCTTAGTAAGGTTCTCTCCCTTTTTGAGAACGCTTACGGACGCCGAGTTGCCTTGGTTCGGTACTCGGGCGCCACCCTCAAAGTTTTAAGTGTTTGAGAGACCACTACTGCCAGTACGGGTAGCTTTTATTTTATACAGTGGAGATACCAGGGAATGATGAGATGAAAAGAAAATAAAACGCACAATTAACTATAACGTAACACTAGGTTTTTATTTAACAAATTAATTATTTACAAAAATAATCAAAGAAAGTTTACGTTCTCGAATTGTAACAATAGCAAAATAAAATGAACGCTAGAAACTCGTAAAGCAAAATTTACAATAACAACCGTGTACCTCTAGAGTTCTGATCGGTTATTCCCAATACGCAACTCTCTGACTGACTCTCTCACTCGAGCACAAGACGCGTTCCCGAAGTGACGTTCCGTTATACACAGAGACGCGGTTCCCGGATCGGTGGTGATGCTGACGGCATCCCGTTGGACACGACGCGAGTCCCGGATCGGCGTCGGAGTTAGCGGCGTCCCATTGGACAGAGAAACGTAGGTATCTGAACAACACACTACAGAGACGCGACTCCCGAAGCGGCGGCGGCGTCGTTACAGGCGTCCCGATGGTCACAGCAACGTATCTACCGTAGCGGCGTCCTTTTGACAGCGAAACACGGATCCCGGATCGGCGTCGGTGTTAGCAGCGTCCCGTTGGACACAGACGCGAGTCCCGGATCTACGTCGAAGTTAGCGGCGTTCTGTTGGACACAGGCGCGAGTCTCGGATTGGCGTCGAAGTTAGCGACGCGTCGGCGAGTTGTACGTCGTTCGGATAGGCGCAGCACGCACACACGTCACCCGTCACTGTTACAGGGTACCGTCCGGACTGCACACTTAGAGAAATACGGGCGCGACAGAACCAGCCTCGGGATTTCGGCGAGATCCTGTCAAGCGCCTTAAATATTCGCGACCCGTGCGTTTACTGAACCACTTTAGCTATACATTTAAAATGCTTAATAAAAATAATTAATTATTAACCCTTAACTAGCTTTTCCCAAGAGGTACGTTATACCGGAGCAGATGTCAGACTACCCTTAAGAGGCATGATTTCCGGCACCTGCCCTAGCACTCCGTATTCCCTCTTTCGCCTGGTCGGCAACTCTGTTAATAAAATAAATTAAGGACCCTTATCTACGCAACCGAAAGATACGCCATACCGGAGCAGTTGTCAGACTACCCTTAAGAGACATGATTTCCGGCGCCTGCCCTAGCATACCGTATTCCTTCTTTAGTCTGGTCGGCAACCTTCGCTCTCCCTTATCCCTATAACGCGCTTAGGTAGTAGAGTAAACGCTAGTAATAATAAAAAGAATAAGACCTATCCTCGATCACTTCGGCGGCTGGTGCTTACCTTGCGCAGTACGGCGGCTGGCAGCTGGTAAAACCTAAAATCGTGTTGAGAGAAATCAGCAGAAAATAGATTCCCAGATGACACTATTTCATGTTCACCCAACTTACATACGTATACAAATTACTTAAAAAAATAAAGATATAATATATTTTCCATAGAACTCAATATAAATTTCTAATACCTAACTTTTTTAAAAAAAAAAGATGTGTCACAACTTAATCTTCTTGATTTTCACATACTAGAAAAAGTCAAATTTTACCTGCAAAGAAACTACACAAAGTGTAGTTTTACTTTAAATTTTCGAAGGAAAGCTGGTTATTTTCTAAGCATTGGGTAAAATGTCCTGGAAACATTCTGTAACTTTATTCATTTCACCAATTTTTTGGTTTCGGTTTATAATCTTTTTTTTTAGATAGTAAAGTTTATTTTTAGTTACTTAACTACCTTACTTTAGTTACTTACTACTTAGTAGTAGTTTGTTTTTAGTTAATTTGTTTTGCGTAATTGCTCTTGTTAACTTCTGTAACTTACCTCCATTTGTTCCTTTTTAACGAAACATGTTCTAATAATTGCTTTATCTATTAACTTATATACTCGTGGTTTGGGGGCAAATTATTTTTTTTTGCAAAATATTAAATAGTACTATATTCTTTGGTAGGCATCTTGCAATTGCGAATTGTGAATTTTGCGATCTTGAATCCTGATTACGAGCAACCAATCAACAAATTTCGCTATAT